CCAATAAGTAACTCATATTAAATAATTGTAAACAAATTTAATTAGTAGCTTGCAAGGAAAAAATCAGTTCTAGAATTAGCAATTTACTTGGAACCGATTTGGAACCGCTCCATCCTTATAGATCAATGAATGATAATCATGTATAAGCATAATATATAGATTAGGAAGATAAGGCTACAAAAGCTTTTATTTCAATTAATTGAATTCTGGTGAAGATTAAATCAAATGATTAATTATATATGCGTAGACTGTTGATATTTTAAATCATCGACTATCTATCTTTAAAGTCTACATAATAACAATATGTGATTTTTGAGTATGGTAAATGTTAGAAATTTGGGATTTCGAATCATCAACTTATTTCCAAAATTACAAATTTTTGGATGATAATCATAGAAATCGCAATGAGACAACATATAAAAGTAAAATTTATTATTATATAGAAGGGAAAAAAATTTACTGAAAAATAATACATATTATTGAATTTTTATTTTTATTCATTTAATAAAAAAAATAATACATATTATTGAATTTCTATTTTTATTCATTTAATAAAAATACTTTCGAATTTCTATATTTTATTCATTTTTAATATTAATATTAATAAAAAAAATAATGCTTTCGAATTTCTATATTTTATTTTTTTTTATTTTTTATTTTTAATTTTAATTATTACCACGCCACCTTCTTGAACTTCAAAATTGGCCTTACACCTTTCATCAATACTTTTTTTAAACAAATAAATAAAAATAATCATAAGTTACATTTGTTATTTAAATAAATATATTTAAAGTTTAAAATTTAAAACCTTACCTATTATTGTAGTGATTCCCGACTGGAAGGTTGCATGTAGTTCTAGTAACACTCCATCTGTTTCTATTTTCTTTATCTTCGCTGTTACTTCAAGATCTTCTCTAACATGAAAAGCATAATCCCTTTCATTGTTATTGTTGGTATGAATAGCGTTATAAAAGTATGGGTTCTTTATAAGTATAGAAAGGTTATGGACTGATTTTATACGATTCAAACGGCACCTGTCC